CCTCCATTTCATCTCCCTCCCCCCTCCTCTGTCTCTCTCATTTTCATTCTCACTCCAGCTCTCTCTCTCTCTCTCTCTCATTTTTATTTTTTCACTGTAGCTCTCTCTCTCCTCTCCCTCCCTCTCTCTCTGGAAAGCAACTGCACCGTCTCTTAAAATGTATAACTCTGTGATTTTTTCTTCATTACCTCTCTCATTAATATTGTTTTAGCAGTTCAGTGGGAGTTTTTCATTTATGAGTTTGAAAGGATATGCTTTTCTTGACTTATTCTTTTTAAGTGTGAAATTTATTCTAATATCTGCAAAAATGCATTCTGGACTTCTTTCTGGCCATTTTCTTCGCGTTTTCCCCCCCTCATTTAACCTCTTATGTTTTCTTTTTGTTTTGGCAATAGTACCACAGAACAAAATAAGCAAAGGTCCACTGATCAGAGCAAAGATGAACGATCTAATGACCAAGTCCTTCATGAACTATGTGGAACTCAAGAAACAAGCCCTGAAAGACCTTGAGGCTGGACCAGATATTGAACTATCTGACCTAAGCCTAGAAGATGAGGAAAACCTAGGTCAATTCTTTGAAGAAGTTGGCGCCATTAAAGGTGACATTGAAATCCTGTATGATCTTCTCCGGAATCTCAAGGATGTAGATGGAGAAATGAAATCCGTTCATGATTCAAACCCTCTGAAATTTCTGAGAGAGCGAATGGATTTGGACATGGTTTCAGTCTTAAAGAGGGCTAGGGCTATCAAAGCAAGGCTTGAACTTCTCGATAGGTCTAATGCTGATAATAGGAGGCTCTACGGTTACAAGGAAGGGGGCTCTGTTGATCGAACACGGGTTTCAGTTACTAATGGTTTGAGGAAGAAATTGAGAGATATCATGAAGGAGTTTCAGTCTTTGAGAGAGAAAATCGTTGCAGAGAACAGAGAGGGGTTAAGAAGGAAGGTTTATGCTGAAACAGGGGTTCTAGTGAGAGAGAGTTTGGCTGAAGAGATGGTCTATAATGGAAGGATGTTGCAGACTCTTGCAGAGAAGGCCGAGACTCAACAACATGTAAGATTTCTATGCCATTATGATTAAGCTACTGCTACCGTGATTCCTGTGCATGTATTTGTGTATTATATGTGCATTGAGGAATTTCATGATCAATGCCCTTATGAATATATGTTTCTGTATATATATTGACTATTGAGTGATTGATGCAAAATGCCATATGTGTATCAGTACAGATTTTTGCATATTTGTTAGGAACACATATTATAGTTCTAATGTCATTACATTTTGTAGAGAGAGAGAGAGAGAGAGAGAGAGAGAGAGAGAGAGAGAGAGAGAGAGAGAGAGAGAGAGAGAGAGAGAGAGAGACGTAGTACGTATACGTAGTAGTACGTAGTACGTAGTGTACGTACGTACGTACGTACGTACGTACGTAGTACGTAGTACGTGTAGT